CAACCATATACCAACTGCTAGAGAACACAGAGGGAACGCTCTTAATTCATTCTTTGAGGACTGTTTAATCCTGACTACAAAGCAAACAAGATGTGTGGGAGAAAGGAAAATCACAAGCCAGTCTCCATTATTAATGTAGATATGTGAATCCTAATTAAAATATTTGCAGAACTCAGTCCAGCCATATATAAAGATATACTATGTCTGTGGGAGTGGAGAACTGGGAAGGGAGGTGGGGGAAAGTTAACCCAGAAATGCCGAAGTTGTTCATTATTGTAAAATTCCTAAAAATGTCTTTGATTTATCCTATTAAATCCTTATTATCCTCTCAGTATGTTCAGACGCACCCAATAAAATTCAACATTCATGATTTTTAAAAAAATAGTCTTAGCAAACGAGAAATAAAAAAGGATTTTCTTAATCTGAAAAGAGTGCAGAAAACATGCCACTTTATTTCTAAAACTTAAAAACAAGTTAATCCGGGCAACATATTTTGCCATATACATAGATTAGATTAAACGATGAAGAGGCAAGAGAATGATAAACATGAAGTACATGGGACGCCTGGGTGGCTCAGTTGGCTAAGGGGCTGCCTTCAGCTCAGGTCATGATCCCAGAGTCTTAGGATCAAGTCCCACATCCGGCTCCTTGCTCAGCAGGGAGCCTGCTTCTTTTCTCCCTCTTCCTCTGCCTGCCACTCTGTCTGCCTGTGCTTTCTCGCTCTCTCCCTTCTCTCTCACAAAAAAATAAATAAAATCCTAAAAAAAAAAAAAAAAATGAAGTGCAGCAGAGTGGTTAATAAATGTGTGTGTTTATGTGTTAAATATATATCCAAATCATTACAAACATACATTCGAGTAAATACAGTATTTTTTTAAATAAAGAAAAAATTTAAGTGAATAAAGTTAGAATACTAAAGACATTTCTGTGGACTCTGAAAACATGAGTAAAAGAAATTGGCTGTGAAAAAGAAATAGAAACTTCATCTTCAATGAAATTAGGTTTTGTGAATTTCCTCAACAGTCCAGATATAGGACAGAGGAGGGAGACCAATGTCTTAATCTAGGGATGCCTGAGCAATTGTAGCAGGTAGATAAGAATTGAGTGACAGTGCCAGCAAGAAAGTAGTTACAACATGGAACTACGGGATGGCAAGTTCAATGGGAAAAGAAGTGAATCTGAGCGGTGGAAAAAGGATTAAGAGAAAATAGAGGGATTAAACAAGTGCAGTTAGAAGAATCCAGAGCTTGTTTTTGCCTGGATCCAGGGGAGGGACAAATGAAGGCAAGAGAGAACAGTAAGTGTAGGGAGGTTGTAGCCAGAAAATAGATTGTTGGAGTTTAAAGATTTAGGAAGTGAAGACAATTAGGGCCAGTAGAGTGATTTCCTGAAGTGAAGTAGAATTGAAGTTTCTAAAGGAATCATAGATTTAGGTATTTTTAGATCCTGTTAAAAAGGGACAAGGAATTGTGATATACTCTGGGGAATGGTTTTCCCTGTGGATAATGAAGTTACCCAGAATGATTAAGTCAACTAAGATTCCTTCTCTCCATGGAAGTAAAACAAACTATGTTAGTTGATGTGTAACTCGTAAGTATGCTCGTTGATGCAGAACTCATTAGTGTCAGAGCAGAGCTAGGAGGACAAACTGACTTTCAGATAATTGATACAATTTCTCTGGTATTTCTGAGGTAAGAGTCTTCCCCACCCTCTGCCCCTCTCTGCTGCCATGCCTCTTTGCTTTACCAATCCACTGTTTTGCTCCTGGGGAGTCTTTACCTATTAACTGCCAGACACAGGGCCTCTCCCTCCCTGCTGTCTTCTGTTAATCTATTTAAGTTTTGTAATCCACACTAATTTGCACATATTAGATTTCCTCCTGGCTTTCTTCAGCTTTCATGCACTAGACAAAGCCATTGAACAGAATATTCCTATATTTCACATCTCTTTTCTCTTTTGAAGCCAGCCTAACAAATATAGACCAATTATTTCATCAAAACTTAATATTCAGAGTTTAAGTTACAGTCTTTTTTTAACTTCTTTTCTTTTTCTACCTCCCTCAGTGAATTGAAGATTATCTGTATGATTGTTTGCTTTCCAACATTATAGAGAAGTCTGAGCCTTTTTTCCAAGTATTGTGGTTTCTAACAGAGTCCCCTAACCTTTCGTTCTTCAAATAATTTATATTATCATTAACTTTTGTTCTAAAAATTAAGAAAATATTCCCATTGGAATGTGCCTGTGTTCCTCTTAAGTAACTGGAGAGATTATTGCTGCATGTTTCCAGGTGGTATTTCCACTTACTCTGCTGCTATGCAAGATTTTAGTTGTGCCTGTGTCATACGGTGGGAAGTCCCTGCTGGTCTGAGAGTGATGGCCGTTATTTACCTTAAATCTCATCATGGAGTAATGATGTCAGACCACATACGGACTTTGGGGGAATAGGTTTTTACTGAGAACTATCTTGAATTCAGTATCTACATTACTGCCTTACGAAATATAGAGATCATTCACCTGCCGATTTTTATAGAAGATGCTACACAGATATCGCACATAATTTGGTGAAAAGATAGTAAAACTTACTGCTATGTAATTCAACCTTAATACACTTCAAAGAAAAAATAAATTCAGTACAGACTTACTTCCAAGACATGTTATAGAGCTTTTACAAATTATATTTAAGCAACAAATTAGAAATATCAGGATACTCAGTAATGGTTTTTTGTTTGCTTATTCATATTATCAGTGAAAAAGATGAGTTTGCTATGGGTAGACAATGTAGTGAACAATATAGGAATAGTTACTGAGTTGCTATTTAGTATACAAAAGTTAAAATGAGGTTCAATTTTTCCCATTCTGATTAAAATTTACAACAACTTGAGCAAGAAAAAAATGATAATTCATTTCATTAATGAGCAGTGGAAATATAAAACAGCAATCTTAAAAAGAGCACTCTTGTTAAAAATCTAAGTGGAGAAAAAACTGGACCATGAATGGAGGTGAGTATTAGAATTGAATCTTGAAAGGACATAGGTCAAAGAATGGACATTATTTTGTAAGTTTGCCCTTTAAGAAAAACCCAGAAAGACTTAAAGGTAACTTCAAATGTCCTTTGATTATTTTTAACACAGTAATCGCCTATAGAAAAAGAAAACATTTTAAAAGATGCAAAAAGGCCAAATCACTGTTTATAGTAGACAAAATGACAAGAATTAATGTTAGAATGCCCACAGCGGAGGAGGGCAGTAATTAACATGAAAGGTTTTACTTCAAAAAATATTGTTGGCTAATGAAGATGCAATGCCAAATATATAGAATTTTGAGAATTTTTAAAAAATTATAATCTGAGGCAAAGAACTTAATTTTTCTGAGCCTTAGTTTCTTATGTTTAAAAATGAAAATAATATTTATCTCTGAGGATTCTTGTGAGAATTAAATATTTTGTGTAAACTACCTATTTTATTGCCTATCTCTCAATAAGTGGTTTGGTGACAGTTGTTATGATTTATTTCTTCTCCTTCTCCTCCTCCTCCTCCTTCATCATCATCATCATCATCATCATCATCATCATGTGATTTAAATCTGTCTTTATTCTCATAACTGGGCTCAGCTCAGCAATTCCTTTGCTCCCTGCGAAGCTGTCTGGCATTTCAGTCACCTGGGAGGCTGGCTCTGGGCTGGGAGCTCATGTAGGCCTGGGATCCTGAGGTCCTCTATTCTCCTTGGGTTGGCCATAAAATGTGAGCTGCTCTCAGCAGGGCAGCAGATTCTAGAAGACAAAGTTCCAAGAAAGGAAGGCAAAAGGTGCAAGGCATCTTATGGCCTAGACTCAGAAGTCACAAAGCATCACCTCTGTTATATTCTGTTGGTTACAGGAAGTCACAGGCAGACCTAAGGGCTGCAGAAAATGACTCCTCTTTTTGACAGAGCAATAACACTCTCACACTTCAAAAGAGCATGTGGGATCGGAGATACTGTTGCAGCCATCTTTGAATAACCTCTGCCCTTTGCTATAAAAGAAGTATGAAGAAGCTCCCTGTGTGTATAAGAAAAGGTCTTCAAGGGGTGCCTGGGTGGCTCAGTGGGTTAAAGCCTCTGCCTTCAGCTCAGGTCATGATCCCAGGGTCCCCGCACATGGGGCCCCTCTGCTCAGCGGGGAGCCTGCTTCCTCCTCTCTCTCTCTCTCTCTGCCTGCCTCTCTGCCTACTTGTGATCTCTGCCTGTCAAATAAATAAATAAAATCTTTAAAAAAGAGAGAGAAGAAAATGTCTTCAAGATATATTGCTAAGTGAGAAAAGCTAGGTACAGAAAAGACTGTATAATACACTAACAATAGTGTAAGGAAGTTGGGGGGGAGAATGTATTTGTATGATGTATTTTTAAAAGTCTCTGAAAACATGCAAGAAACTAATAACAAACAGTGCCTGATGAGTTTGCAGTCAAATGCTCTTCCACTGAGCTATACCCCCAGTCTGATGAGTTTGGAAATCATGTGTCTAGGTGATAAAGGGAGGCTTTTCACTATATGTCTTACTATACTTTTTCAAAACAATCTGAATATTCAAATAACTTCTATTGTTTAAAAATGAAGTTTATAGATTTCCTAATATATGGCCATTTAGATTTTGTGTGAAAATTTACTTCTATGATAGTGAATTCTGTTGTTTTAACCATTTACTTCAAAGGTGGTGAATTCTGTTGTTTTAACCATTTAAAACACTGTCAAAAAGCCTTGATTCTTTTGCATTAACTACGTCAAATTAACTGAATCATTCATTCACAAGACACACAGTACTTACCAGAGGCATTGTTGTAACATTTTTATGGTATATTTCTGTATTTCAAATGTCTTTGAATTATAATTTCATCTATCTTAATTTCATAATGTAACTTTAAATTTATGCATAATTAATATTTTAAATACTGAAACTTGATTATTAAAATGTAGTATTAACTGAAGCTATTAAGAATAATAATTCCAAAGGTATCTTCCTTTTTAGATTACTATGCCATGCTATGAAGGACCATATAGTTCGTGTTGCAAATGAAGCTGAGTTTATTTTGAACAGACAGAGAGCTGAGGATGTACATAAACATGCAGAGTTTGAGGTAAGGTTTTTATAAAGAAGGTTTTTTAGAAACTGTTTTATAAGCAGTTCTTTTTTTTTTTTTTTAAGCTTTCGTAAATGCCAAACACAGAGCACTAATTTTTACCTCATTTACAACATGCAGAAATTCTTCTTACAATATGCCTAACTCTTTGGTAGACTGAAGTTCTAATGTATTCTTAAACGCAAATAAGATTTTATGATGCAATTACTTTAGTAATTTTTAAACTAGTTTATACATCACTTAGAGATGGGCATAACAAGTTGTTATATGAAGAAACTCCGTTTTACCAAATATTCCATAATTTATTATTTATCAATGTGTCCGTCTTTAGAGTGACTGAAGATCACTTCAGTTGTCTTACTGTTATAATCGATATTTCACTGACAACTTAAGCTTTGCTATTATATGATATACATGTAGATCTATACATATATTGGGAATAGAATAATTTTAAAATCCTCATAAGTGGGGCGCCTGGGTGGCTCAGTGGGTTAAGCCTCTACCTTCGGCTAGGGTCGTGATCTCAAGGTCCTGGAATTGAGCCCCACATTGGGCTCTCTGCTTGTCGGGGAGCCTGCTTCTCCCTCTCTCTCTGCCTGCCTCTCTGCCTACTTGTGATCTCTCTCTCTCTCTCTCTCGTCAGATAAATAAATAAATAAACTTAAAAAAAAATCCTCATAAGTACCTTGGCTAAAGAAAAAATTAACATTTCTATTTCACGTGCAAAAACTAAAGTGTATTGAGATATTGTATATTCTATACTAATAGGTTTTATAAAAATATTATTTTTATATTTCCAGCATGTTAATAATTATTTGCCATTATTTGAATTGCCTCAATTCAATATCTTGATTTCAGTGTTTTAAATTATAGTGATTACTTAATTCATTCAATTTTTGACAAAACTTGGTTTCAGAAATATTCAGGTGACCTGCCTGACTGGCTTAGCTGAACTGTCAGTGGCCCTAAAAATACTCTTCTTCTTTCTTTCTTTTTTTTTTTAATTTAATTTTATTTTTCCAGTGTTCCAAGATTCATTGTTTATGCACCACACCTGGTGCTCCATGCAATACATGCCCTCCTTAATACCCACCACCAGGCTCACCCATCCCCCCACCCCAACCCTTCCAAAACCCTGTTTGTTTCTCAGAACCCACAGTCTCATGCTTCATTTCCCCCTCCGTTTTCCCCCAATTCACTTTTCCTTTCCTTCTCCTAATGTCCTCAGTGTTATTCTTTATGCTCCACAAGTAAGTGAAACCATATGATAATTGACTTTCTCTGCTTGACTTATTTCACTCAACGTGAGGCAGGAATCTATCAAAATCTTAGAGGAGAACATAGGCCTTGAAAATAATAAATAACCATCAATTTATTTTCCTGATGCAACATGCAAACAAGTGGGACACGGCTGGAAATCAGAGTCCAAGATTTCAGTTTTGATGAGGTTTTTATCTCAGTAAGCCAGCTCTCTTAGTCATGCAAGTTGATGCCCTCAGTGTAGTAATCTCTGACCTTGCTAGCTGAAAAGCACAAGACAGAGAATTAACTGTTGTCACTCTCATACCCAACCTCTGCTTCATTTGTCAGAGGAGACAGTACACACTTGTCATGTGAGATTGCAACAACCTTATTTTGAAAAAAATACCAAATATTTTAAACTTTGATAAAAATACATTGACAATTGGGTGTTTATCAAAGTATCATATCCCTTCAAGAGTAAATACTATTGGATATTTATCAAGATATCCTGCTATAATCTGGGTGTCAAGAAAATTTTGTCTTATCTGTTCTTTGAAGAATATGTTTAGATATGAGATAGGTCAGGAGTTGAAACAAAATAAGCACATTCAATTAACTAGTGACTTCTATTAGTAAATAAGATTTAGAATATTAGCTGAATCCCCTGCAGGATGAGTTTTAAATCATTCATATATCTACTAAGAAAATCAAGAAATTTTGTGGGGATATCTAAAGGTCATATTTATCATATGAAAATATTTAAAATAGATTTTTAAGCAGCTAGATATTAGTGACAAGTTTTAACACATATTTAGCCAAAATGGAATTAAGCTGAGGACAGTGGTTCTCAGCCTTTTTTTCATTAGTGCCCCCTCTAAGGAATCTTTTCTAATCTCCCTCTCCCAGTAAAATTTTATTTCTATAATATGCTGCATATCTGTTTGTGTACTGTATATGCATCTGTGCTTTATACGTAGAAAGGATATGGTTTTTTCTCATCCCCAATACCACTTTTTATGCCCTGGGCATGAGATCATTCCTGTTGAGGATGCATGGCGAAGAGTGATAAGAGGCTATGAAGTGGACAAGAAGACTCAGTGCTTTTTGGATTATGTAAATATAAAATAAAATACATAAATCAAATTTTGAGAGTATCATCATTGTTATTTAATTGATGTGTTTTTTTAACTGAAACATTTAAATTTGTTCTTTTTAGGTTAGAGCTGTATTGGTAAATGCATTGACCTTGAGTGTGTGTGTGCGTGTGCACGCTTAAGTTGTTTACCAAACACTTACCACTTTTAAATTATAAAAGATTTTATAAAAGCCATGATATTTTATTAGGACTTTTTGGGAATTTCTCTGCCTCCCATATAAGCCTGTGATTAAGAGATAAAGTATATTTAATTTGAGATGGGTACTTCAAAATTTTTTTAGTTAACCATTGTAATTGTTAAGGAAGAAAAATGAAAATTTAATTTTGCTCTCCAATGAGCTAATGAAATATTAAACTCATTATGGAGGCAGATCATTGTACTAATTGGTGATTCCCTGTACAAAAAGATAAATTGGAAAATGAATTAATCCTTCTTAGAGTACTGTAAGGTTATTTCTCTGAAAGAGATGACTTGTGGTAATAGTCTGCATCAATAGATAGACTGAAGGGATATGTTCAGATTCCTTCCATGAAACAAATTTTTACATAGTAAAGATGAATGTGAACCAATTATATGTATTTTTAGATGTGAGACTTTTTTCCCTCTAATTATATGACTCATATTATATGCTTGGTAAAGTTAGAATTTATGGTCAGTCCACCTATATAAAAATTACTATACAAAAATCAAACATAATTAAAGAGATGTTCATCTTCATGTTCATATTGAACCTTTCTGATACACAGTGAGATGGATACTGATTAGCTATGTCACTGATACTGGTGAGCATGAATACGGACAGTGGACAGAACAACTGATTATTAGAAAAGATGAGAATAATAGGGTTGTTATCATGGGAACCTTTGAACACATTAAATTCTAGACTTGGGAGAGATTATAGAGAAAACTTTAGCTTCTCATTCTATAAATATGAAACTGAGTATTGATGGGGAAAGAAAAGAATTTTCACAAAGTGTGGAATAAATCCAAATCTAAATACCTAAGTCATTGCTTTTCCTTGTATACCACATTGCCATTCATGAAATTGGAAAACTATTATTTATAGTTTATATATATATATATATATATATGGCAAGTTTTGGATCTCTATATAATTATCAAGAATGTAATTCTCATTTTAAGTGTGGCATATACCATATTGGTTAAAATAATAATTAGATTTATGTATTTAATAAACCATTCTTCTAAAATTATTACTTTGGGAATATATTAAAATCAGACTCAGAATTTTAGGAGCCTTAAAGATCATTAATTGCTTTATATAATACCATCCAAATTATCTTCCATATACTTTATGTATAATCACATAGAACACATTTTTACAAGTTTGAAAAGTGATTGTAGTGACCATATTCTTTCTGTTTTACTTTTCTTAAATTAAATTTTCACAAGATTATGTTACTACCCTTCAATTTAAGGTCAGATATCGTTCCTTACTTGGACACCACAGAAGTTATACATTGTTAAACATTATGCATCATTCGTATTTTTTGTAGTCGCAGTGTGCCCAGTATGCTGCTGATAGAAGAGAGGAGGAAAAGATGTGTGATCATCTCATAAGTGCTGCTAAACATCGAGATCACGTTACAGCAAACCAACTGAAACAGAAGATCCTTAATATTCTCACAAATAAGCATGGCGCTTGGGGAGCAGTTTCTCATAGGTGAGTTTCACAAATTTACAAGTAAATAATAACTCACAGGTTATTTATAATAGAAGTTAAAGATTACGAACTTTAAAATTATGTAGAAAAAATGATTTAAAACATACAAAATTGCTTGAATTTTTCCCTGATATCTTTAGTAATTCCTTGTTAGAATCCTTCAGGAAAAAATCTAAACTTTTAACAGAAGCTCCAGTGGAAGCCATTTCTAATTTAACAGTAATATGTAATATAAAAAAAAAAAATAGGCAAGTATTTTAGATTACTATCTCTTACATGATGTGTGTTAATTATTAGAAGTGGCTTTTTTTCAACTTTGAAGAGTCAACTCTACCTAGTAATTAAATTTATATCATTCTTAATTTTTCCAAAACAGGTAGTAATAGAAACATTTACTGTGTAGAGGTAACACATCTTTTTAAAGCTTTTCTTCCATATTTTTCTATTCAGTCTTTCTTAGGAAAGATTTTCATTGCACATTAGGGCATTTATGATATCATAGTAAAAGTAAAACCAAAATTGGTTGTTTATGAATTACAGATGTTCTCGCTAAAGTTTTGTGGGCATAAAATTTTTTTATTTCCTCTACACAATGAAGTTTTCTAGAAAAATAATAGTGAGGCAGGTCACAATATTTCGATTGCTAATGTTCTTCATTTTTAGATCTTCATTTTATTTGATCCTATTAAATGCTTTTAAGTCTCTGGCAGAGTTTAGGGGTTGGTTAAATGTGACCGGCACACTACTAAGAAGAATTCTGATAGAACTTATTCTCTTAGTTGGGGAATAACATCTAGAATATGACCATGATACTGTTTGATCATCTGGCCTGGTATTTCAAATATAAGATAGACTTGGTAAATCTTTATAATTTTTGTATTTAAGGTAAAATTATAAGTTAATAACCTTAAAAATAATCAACACTCAATATATGTTTCTTATAATAATAGTGATACTGTGACATCTAGATTTATTGAATGCTTATTGTGTGCCAGGCATCATACTAAGACGTTTACATGAATTATTTCATTTAACCTTTAGAACATCTCTATTTATTTTGGTACTCAAATGTTTTCCGTATTATATTGAGGAAACTGGAGCTTTCAGAAGTTAAATAAAAACTTACATAGTATCACACAAGGAGAGACAGTGTTTCAGTCAGAGTTCTCCAGAAAAACATAAAAACAGAACCAATGGAATGTATGTGAGACATGGAGATATAGGTATAAGTATAAATATAGAAATAGACATAGATTTATTTTAAAGAATTGACTCACATGATTATGAGGGCTGGTAAGTCTAAAATCTGTAGGATAGACTGGCAGGCTAGAAACTAAGGCATGATTTTTGCTATAGTCCTGACACAGGATTTCTTCTTCTCCAATGAACCTCAAGGTTTATTTTGTTTTGTTCTTATTTTTGTTTTTTTTTAAGGCCTTCAACTAATTGGATGAGGTCCACCCACATTTTATCTTTTATTTAAAGTCCAGTGATTGTAGGTGTTAACTACATTTAGGAAATACCTTCACAGCAACATCTAGACTGTTATTTGACCAAACAACTGAGCACTATAGCCTAGTCAACTTGACATGTAAAGTTTAACATCATACATGGTAGCAATAACATGGGCATTTTGCCCAGCTCTAGACTTTGTCTCTCTTTTTTGTGTTCTCTGAATTGGATTTATCTTCTTAGTTCTATACAATCAGGACTGTAATGTAATATTGCTAATAATTCAGGTGATATGACTCAGAATATTGCCTTCAGTATAAAGATGCATGAGAACTTGAGGTCTTAATTATTTCATCATCTAATTAGGATACAGCTAACAGAGAGTCACCTCCATAGCTGCAGTCATGAGTCAAGTGCATCCTCTGCTCAGCTAATCCTTTACTGGGTTTCATTAGGCTGACAGAAAGACTGGCAGCAGGACCCCTTAGATATAAAGGTAGCTTCTCTTCTTTCCTGCACATTAATTCCCAGTGACTAACAAAAAAACACACAATCTTTCTGTTAATCATCCTTTCCTAAGTAAGTCACTGAACTCTAAATATTTAAGAATAGGTTTTGTTCTCTATAATCTTACTTAGTATTTGACTAATTAATAAGACTCAGTCATTAGATTGCTTCTCTTTTTTGTTTGATTCACTCTTTATTGTAGCTTTTACAAATCTCACGGCTTAAAAACACAACCCCTATGTTGATAACTCCCTAGTTTATTATCCCTAGTCCAGATCTTTCAGTCACCTCCAGACTTGTTTATCCATCTACCTATTTGGCATCTTCTACCTAGATACCATACTTCAGGTGACAAAACAGCTCCTAAGACTTTCTCCCAAACCATCTCTACCTCAACCGAGGGCAGCTCCATTCTTAAATTTGCCCAGGCCGTAAATGTGGCTTTTATCCTAACTGCTCTTAACACATCACATATTGAGCCCTGAGGCACATCTTACTGACTCTGTCACAGAATATGTCTAGCACATTACCTTTGCGGTCCCCTTGCTCCAAAATGATGCCATCATTTCTCACTTGACTTGTCCCAGCAGCATTTTCTATAGTCTTCCTGCTTCTGCCTTGATCCTCCTAAAGGCCATTCTCAAAACAACAGCCTGGGCGATTTTTATTAAAATGTGTATCCTTTTGCTCCTCTACTCAGAAACCCCCAGAGCCGTGCTGTGCAAGATGGTAACCATTAGTCACATGTGGCTATTGAAATTTAATAAAAATTAAATTTAATTAAAAATGTAGGGCCACCTTTCAAGTACTCAGTAGCCACATGTGGGTGGCAGCTAGCATATTAGACAGCACAGAACATTTCCATTATTGCACAAAGTTGCATTGGATGGTGTTGCTCCAGAAGTTTCCTGTGTCACCGAAAGTTAAAATCCTTACGATGACCTACAAGGACAGAATGTGCTATTTTTGATAGAGTGTTCAGAGAAATCCATTCTGATAAAGAACCACTTGGGCAAAGAACTCTGAGCATTTTAAACAGAGGGAACAGCCTGCAAAAGAAGGAGGGGCTTGGCCTGTTCCAAGAGCAGGCAGAGACCAGTATGGCTGCCGTGCAGTGAGCCATGGATGAAAGGTTATGATCTTTGTTAACTCTCTGACCTCCTCTCTTGCTACTCTCCCCTGGCTCATTTTGTTCCAGTCACTGTGGCTTTTTGCTGTTTTTCTGGCTTTTAGGACATGCTTATTCTATTTGGAATGTTTTCTCCCAATCTATGCAGCTACCTCTCCCACTTTCTTCCAGTTTTAATTCAAATGGTACTTTCTCAAAAAAGCCATCATCTGTAGCCACTTCTTCCCCCCAAGTGTTTTGTATTATATTTCTCTGCTTTATTTTTCCTTTTCCAACATTTATTACTATCTTACATATTATGTACTTATTTATTAGTTGTACTGTTTTGTCTCCCACGAGAATACAAGCTCCATAATGGAAGGGATTTTTCTCTCTTTTGTCCATAGAATACCTCACACCTAGAATAATGCCAGATACATGGTGCTAAATAAATATCCACTGAATAAATTAATAAATGAACACTTGATGTATACCCTTTTTACAGCAATACTGGCAATGGAATGGAAAGCAAATTAGTCTGTTGTCTGGAACGATTTTATATTTTGAATGAAATCATATTATTAAATGACAAAATGTACTTAGCCTTGCGTAAAACCAAAGCTCGGGTTCATTGGAAAGTGAGAGGAGCAATTCTCATTTCATTGGATTATTTAAATGGTAAACTGAAGTATTATAATGCAAAATGCTTAACACAGTATCTGACACAGAGTAGACTTTTTATATTTGTTAGTCTCTTTTCTTTTTTGTTAGCTCTTTGAAAAAAGCCTTTTTAAAAAGACTTTATTTTTTTAGAGCAGTTTTAGGTTTACAACAGAGATTTTCCTTATACCTTCTCCCAACACACATGTATACCCTCTCCCATAATCATGGTCATTCTCCCAAATGGTACATTTTTTACCAGGACTGAACCCACATTTACACAGTATAGCATAATTACCCGAAGTCCATAGTCCACCTGATGGCTCACTCTTGGTGTTGGTTCTGTGTGTTGGGACAAATTATCCCATATACCCAGCATTATAATATCATATGGAGTATTTTAATTGCTCTAAAATTTCTCTGTGTTCTGCCTATTCATTTCTCTCCTTCCCCCACACCACCCTGGGCAACCACTGTTTTTTTTGTTTTGTTTTGTTTTTAAATCTATAGTTTTGCCTTTCCAGAATGTCATATAGTTGAAGTCATACAGTATGTAACCTCTTCAGATTGGGTTCTTTTACTTAGTGACATGCAATTAAGGTTCCTTCATATCTTTTCATGGCTTGATGGCTGATTTTCTTTTAGTGCTAAATAATATTTCATTGTCTGGATATACCACAGTTTATTTATCCATTTACCTACTAAAGAGTGTCTTGGTTGCTTCCAAGTTTTGGCAGTTATGAATAAACATCCATGGGCAGGTTTTTGTATGGACATTGGTTTTCAGCTCCTTTGGGTAAACACTAAAAACCATGATTGCTGAATGGTATGATAAGAGTATGTTTAGTTCTGTAAGAAACCACCAGAGTGTCTTCAAAGAGGCTATAACATTTTGCATTCTCACTACCAATATATGAGAATTTCTGTTGTTCCACCTCCTCGCCAGCTTTAACTATTGTCAGTGTTCCAGATTTGGACCATTCTAATAGGTGTATGTAGTAGTGGTATCTCATGTTTTGATTTGAATATTCCTGATGACATATGATGTGGAGCATCTTGTCATGTGCTTGTTTTCCATATGTACATCTTCTTTGGTGAGGTGTCTGTTAAGTCTTTGGCCCATTTTTTAACCAAGTTATTTGCTTTCTTATTATTGAGTTTTAAGAATTCTTTCTATATTTTGCATAACCATCCTTTATCAGATATGTCTTTTGCAAATATTTTCTCCCAGACTGTGGCTTGTCTTTTCATTCTCTTGATAGTGTCCTTTGTA